ATCGCTCACTGGAGAATCCCCCTCTTCCCCACCTTGGCTTCACCCAGTGCTTACCACCCACACTGCTCCTGGCCATGCTGGCCTGGCCAGGACCCCCAGCTCAGTTCCAAACATCTCTGGCCCGGCTCCCTCAGCCTTGGGTAGAGAACTGCAGGCTGGGAGAGCAGTGACTAGTGGCCCAGGTCCAATCTGATATAGCTTCTGGCCAGGCCTGGAGGGAGGGAGTATGCAGGAGGAACATCTAACCTAGGTTGTTGACCACCAACTTGCCCTTCCAACCCTTGCTGAAAATGGATTTATTTTAGGGATGTGGCACCAGAATGACATGGCAGTGGGAGAAATGGGTGGAAATGTTTGTCAAATTTGGGGATCCATGCAGAAGCTGCTTAGCTATGAATCAAACTAGCCAGATTTGGCAGCCATAGTTGGTGGCCTATGGACTGGGGGCAGGAGAGAGATAATCCCTGGAATCTAATGGCTCATCTTTAAGGAGTGGGGTGTGTGTGTCACAATGGCTCCTTTATGGGTCTCAGTCTCCTTATCTGTAAGTGAAGAGGGTTGTACTTGATGATTAAGAGGATGCTCTGAGCTCTGACAGCACAGATTTTACAAAAATGTTATTGCTCAGACTCACGTACAACCGTATCTCCAAATAACTCAAAAGAAAGAACTTAAGCTTTAACTAAAGGTGATGAGCATTTTAAGCAAAAAGCTGTCCTTAGCAAAGCTGCAAATCTAACAATCAAGGCAAGCTGAAAAATTATTTTATTGAATTACAAGTTGTAGCTTAGGCAAAGTGGGGAGACTGCATTAACAAAACTCTTACTGTTTGGGGGATCTATTTATGGCATAGACTCTCTGGTCTGAGTGCTCAGCAAAGCACAATAGAAATGTGTCTAAGTCTTGCGCAGATAAGTAAATGTCATGATGTTTATATTTAGTTCTATAGGAGAGAGACATAATGCAAAACGGGGAGAGTGGGAGGACAAAATGGTATCATTCCACTTCAACCTCCCATTTGTGTTAAAACCACTGCTTGTAGGTATCAAATTCTACATATTGAATTGTTCTTTAAAGAAATTTTGGTGCTTGGGAATTTCTACATTGAATATCTATAAAGATAAAAGTCCTTGAGACAGATACACATACGGACAGACACACACACACACACACACACACATACACACGGATCAATATTACCGATCTGAGATATGTAATGTATTTGACATAAAACCCTTGGTCAAAGTACTAATTTCCCAGTGACTTAGTTAATTAGGTTAGCCAGGTAGTGTCAATCTCAATCCCCTTCTCTCAGTCTCCCCACATTCCTCCCTCCCTCTCCCCCTTCCATACTCTCTCTCTGGTATAGGCAGATAACACTGAGCTGTGAACTAGAAATGAGAGGAGTATGTTTTTCGGTTAGATAGTACTTAGTTGCAACTCTGGAAACATACAAACAATTAGGGTTGAAAAGAATCCTTTGATTTTTCCATATTAAAAAGTGACCATTTCAGAGAAGTATTATTGAAGAATAAATAGGGTGTTAGGACAATTACATAGTCCTTCCATTAAGAAGCTTCCAAGAAACTCTTTCATTCAGAAATTCAATTATTGCTGTTCCATAAGGTTCTGACAGGGATGGGGGGAAAAATCATACCTAATGGTTTTCCTTGTCTTGAGACTTTCACAAACAAAAGATTGAATTATGACTTGAATGGCATTAGCCAAAAATCTTTAAATTGTAATTTTATTTCTATTAATAGTTTGTTCATCCATCCATCCATCTACCCAACAAATATTCACTGAAAGTTTACTATGTGCCAGGCACTTGGTTATGCAGTGAAAGACATGTCCCTTATGGAATTTACAGTTTCTGCATTTTCTAAGTTGGCTTAATTGCCATTTTATCTCTTATTTATTAGAGATTTTAGAGGTTCGTTTTCTCCATTAATCAAAATTTGTATGACATAAGTTGAAAGTACATATTATGAGCACGGTAAAGCCTTAGCCCCCAGATCCTCTAGAAAATTAATATAAAGCTTGATTTTCTTAGACATTCCCTTAAACTGTGGATAATTTAAAACATTAATTTTTTTTAGTCGATAGTTTTCTAATGCATTACAGAGTTCCTTGCTTTTAGTGCGGAACATATTAATGATTCAGAGCTATTATTAACATCAGTTATCATGCTATACTGCAATACAGTGGCTGTGTTGGGCTCTATAGTGGGGTATAGGATGGTTTGCCCCAATACTGAGTAGCCCCTGACCACTAAGATTTTTTTTGGTCCTATTGCCTATTTTTTGTTTAATTTTTTTTATTTTTTGTAGTTTGTCTGTCCTCTTTCCTTCCAGGTCTTACTTTAGGCTGGTATTCAACGATTCACTCAAGTTCTTGATTCTTTTTGCCGCTCCTAAATTGCTTGGAAACTACATAGTTAAGAGGTAAAGTGGTTGTTAGGGAGGAAAGATGTTTCTATGAAAACACAAGAACATAATCTTTGTGACATCTATTTCAGATGCTCAGAGACTAGTTTTTACTTCCTCCTTGTTTCTTCATAATGTCTTATATAGGTAACATGCGCTGGGTGTGCGTTCTTGATACTGAATTTATTCCTCTATTTACAGAAAGAAGCATTCTAGATGGTTTAATTTGATTTGTTTTGTTTTTTAAAGGATTTCTTAGAACTGTATATTGTCATTCACAGGTAGATTTTCAGCTATTTAAAAAACCAACTGAGTGGACAGAGAAAATGTGGTATATATACCATGGAATGCTACTCAGCCATAAAAAAGAATGAAATAATGTCTTTTGCAGCAACTTGGATAGAACTTGAGGCCATTATCCTAAGTGAAGTAACCCAGAAACAGAAAATAAAATACTGCATGTTCTCATTTAGTGGGAACTAATCTAGGGGTATGCATGGTCATGCAGAGCGGAATAACAGATGGTGAAGACCCCAAATGCAGGAGGGTGGGAGGGGGGTGAGGGATGAAAATTACCTATTGGGCACAATATATACTATTCGGATGACGGGTTTACGAAAAGCCCAGACCTCACTGACACGTAGTATATCCACATAACAAAATTGCACTGAAACTCCTATATATAGAAATAAATAATAAAATAAAAATAAAAAACTGCAAAACTTACTAGAGCGATATCATGAAACCAGAATAAGAGGCATGGTTAAGCTAAATATTTTGTTATGATTGGTCAATTTTGAAATGAATATTATTTCCCCTAGGAGGTTGATTTGGCAAAAGTGGGGCGCACAGGAAGTACATGCTGTGATCCCCAGGCTTCCATGCTCTGTCAAGTTGATAGGAATATGGGGTAAGCGGGACTTGACGAAATCCCAGAGACCATAAGCCAGGAAAGTAAAGGAACAGGACTTAACGTTTGCCAGTCTGATGTTTTCTCAGATATCCTGGGGAAGACAGGATGATACTCAGCTGGGCTCAGATGGTAGAATTTGGGATCAATGGTCAGGAATGGTTTTGTTGGGATCTTATGAATGATAAGCATGAGAACAGAATATTTCGATGTCTGGAAATTTCCAGACAAACCAAAAGGGGAGTGTTAAAATTTGTGATTAAAAAGAAGCCTGGTAAGTTTTATTAAGTATTCCAGAAAGTCAGGAGGTGTTTTCCCCCTAAAGCTTCCTGCTTTAATAATCTGACAAGGTTAACGTGTCATGAGGTATAATATTTCATGTTCTCTTTAAAGTGATGCCACTTGATGACATACAGGGATTAACCATCAGGAGATGACGAGAGAGAGTGACCCTCCACCCCTTACTTAGACTTTAGACCTTTTAGAGCCCCAGCATCCTTTTACACCTAACTGTTGCTTGCCTCTTGGTCATTTCCAGCACCGGGCCTTACTGAGGTTTCATTGTCTAGAGCTGGGATGTCCAACACTGCAACCATTTGCCACCTGTGGCTATCTAAATCTAAATTTATTAAAATTAAATAAAATTAAAAATTCAGTTCCTCAGTAGCACTAGCCACATTTCAAGTGTTGATAGCCACACACAATCCAGGGGTTACTGTACGGGACAGTTCAGGTGTAGAACGTTTCCATTGTGCTCCACTGGACAGTGCTGTCCCAGAGCTCTGCCTCACGGTGGCTGCTACATCTGTCTACGAACACAGCCCCCTCAGGAACCCTTGGAGCTGGCTCTTCTGTCTCCAGCATGCCTACTCAACTCAGCAAAGGCCTCGACTCGCCCAGCTTAGTGCTTCTCTGCAGCAGGGCCCTGAGAGAGCTCTAGGACTTTATGCCCACATTCTTCCTCATGTCTTGAGAGTCCCTCTATTTATATTTTGGAAACAGAATTATTCCCATTGGTTGGTTACATAACTGATCACACCAATTTTCTTGCTACCCTCTGTTAATAATGAAACGTGTTGTTTTGTACAATGTGGAAAAGCTTCTTAAATCAAGTTGGAAGGTGGAAAAAATGAGTCGTGAGGTTTTAGGCCTCCAGGGTTCTACTCATTTCAACAAAACAGAGTATCAGTTAATGTTCTCCCCTCTAAGCTGTCAAGAAACATGAAACAAGGTGGGGATGGAGGAAATGTTTGGGTTGAAAGAAAACTCCAGTGGAATTTGAAACCCAAAGACCACAAGGTAGAATGGTTAGCCTCAGATGAATGTCAGGATTTCCCACAAGGTTTAATGAGGAGAAGCTACTTTCATTTCCTCAAAACCTGGTAATCATTCTGCTTGGGTAGCTGCCAATCAGGTCCCTGAGGGGAACCGGGGAGGAACACTGCTGAATACTTGACTTCACACTCCACTAGGGATTTTGGACAATTGCAAAGAAAGTGGGGTGAGTAAGAAAAAGTCTGGTAGCAACTGCCTTAGAAAATTGACCAGGAAAGACTTTACCAGGTAAGATGTACCAATCTACTGTGACGCACTTTTTGGGAATCCCTGTTGTCTGGTATTTGTGGCCCCAAAGTATGCTCCTCTGAAACCCTCCACCAACCTACTTGTTATGGAAATCGTAGATCTCCTGGATGTTGCCAAAGATGATGTGCTCTTTATTGAGGATCCCAGGCGGGATCTCCTCCACACCGCTGGTCATCTCCCACAGGTAGGTCTGCAAGACAGCAATAGTGTCATCACTGGCAAGTCCTGCCACATGAAATGCAGACAAAATAAACGGGCCCTCCAACTTGTGGGGCAAGGCTCAGACTGGGAATGCATGTAGAGTTTAAAAATGAGGGATTAAATAATAAACAGAACAGAAAGGAATAGAACCTAAATATTTCATTACACTGAACTTTAGCATGAACACAAACGCCACAGTCTTCATGTTATTTATTCAATGTTTGTGGATTTGAGTGTGTGTGAGTTGGAAGGGAGGGAGATGCAGATTTTCAGACCCAATGTAAGTTCACAGACTGTGTTATGGTTTTGATTTTGAATTTAAGAGCCTTATATACTTTTTTCCCCTAGGTCTAGCTCCAGTCTGAGAAAAGTTGAAACTTTCTTTTCTAAAGCACTTTAAATTCCCATGTAATTACTGTTGGTACTGGGAGAAGGTTTCCTCTGGTTGGCTTTTTTATTCATTCCTCTCTGGGAGAAAACCACAAGCACCAGGCTCCTCTCGAGGACCTGTTGCTAGCAAGGATGTTATTTCCCTAATGCGGCTGTGAACTAATTACTGCAAGACTCACCTCCAAGCACTCATGTAAGTCCCTTACATAAGCCTTCTCTGTCTGGAGTAGTTCAGCCATAATGAACCTAGAAGGAAACAAATGGGCTTTTAGTCGGTTATAGAGATGATGCCTCCCTTCCATCAAACTTCACTTCCCTACCCCAGCATTTATGACATTGGAAAATGCCCTATTTTTCTGCTTTACCGTGTTTTTTCCTTTCTTCAAAACTCCTTGAGTATTTCCCTCTCCTACGAGTATCTTCCCGTGAGTCATGCTCACCCTAATCCTTTGCCCTGTATCCCTTCAGTATGTCTGTGCTCAGCTAGTTCCATATCCTCTACCCCTTTCCACCCCAGTTCCACTATTCTGTGATCCCGTGTTGGCGTGCGTGTGTTCTCAGTTGCATGCATGTGCACACATGCGGACACCAGTGAGCAGGACCATCCATGTTCTACCTCACCAACCAGATAGCTTGAGTGTCTTACTGCTCCCAGAATGATGATTTCTGTTCAGTAGAGTTTGTATACTTATACCAAAACAGTTCTCAGTTCCACAAGTTAAACTAGGTTTCAAAGCCAGGAGAAGATATCTAACACCCCACTAAGATAAGGGGTTAGCAACTTTTTCTGTAAAGAGCCAGATAGTAAATCTTTGTGGGCCATTCAGTCTCTGTCACAACCATTCGATTTTGCTGCTGTGTGAAAGGAGCCATAGACAATGCATAAAAAATAAGTTCCAGTAAAACTATGACAACTGAAATTTGAATTTTATCTAATTTTCATGTTATGAAATATTATTTTGATTTTTTTCAATAATTTAAAAATATAAAAAATCATTTTTAGTTTATAGACTATATAAAATAGTTGGTGGGTCAAATCTGGCCTGCGTTTGCTGACCTCTGACCTAAATTATCCCATTAACTATTACATTTAGATGCTATTTTTTTTTTTTTTAAAGAGACAGGGAAACAGGGTCTCTGTTGCCTGGGCTGCAGTGCAGTGGCACAATCATAACTCATTGTAGTCTGAAATTTCTGGGCTGAAGCCAGCAATCCTCCCACCTAAGCCTCCTGTGTAGTTAGGACTACAGGCATGCACTACCACTAATTAAAAAAATTTTTTTTTGGTAGAGACGGGGTCTCACAATGTTGCCCAGACTGGTTTTGAACTTCTGGCCTCAAAGCAATCCTTTCACCTTGGCCTCCCAAAGTGCTGGGATTATAGGCATGAGCCACTGTGCCTGGTCTAGACACTATTTTTAATGGGACTTGTCTCATCATAAATGGATGTGCATAAAGCTGAACATGCAACCATAAGCACAGTATAAATTAATAATGTTATATGACTTCTCTTCAGTGCCGAATATAGAGAAGCTTGTGCTGTACATCTTTGAGGAGAAGGTTTCCTTCCTTCTTTGCCCCTAAATAACACAATGTACTTGGGCAATTGTTAAACTTATGATGCATGGCTTCATTGTAGTATATGTACTTCATTTTTTTCCTCCATAAATTTTTATTAGAAATGGTGCTTGTTAGCTGGCATATAATATCTAATTTAGAAAAACTGTGTATTTATATATTTATCTTTCCTTTTCTGTATCAGTTTTTCATTTAGGCCATGATGAAGACCCTTATTTCCATGTGTTCCATCATATGAAAATTTTGAGAAATTTTGTCCCCAAAGTGTCCCCTATTGGAAATTTCACAAGAAATATTAAATGAGAAGCACCTTTTCCTGGAACTTTATCTTGGCAGGATTTTCCTTAAAGTAATATACATTGTTCTGGTAGTAGCCTTTCTATTAAAATTAAAGTATTGGTTCAAAAAATTCCCTTTTGCAGAAGTTAATTAGCCACTATCTTTCTATTCTTACTCTATTGGTAGAGAAGGAATGCATGAACTTTGGAATCAGACAAATAGGAACTGAATTACAACTCTGTCCTTTGCCAGAGGTAGGACTTGCTTCTCCAAGCCTCAGACACTTAACTTATAAAATAGCTGATCACATGGGATTGCTGCAAGGACGAAACAAGACCATGTAAACAAAGTACCTAGTGCATGGTAGGTGTTCAGTAAACACTCAGTGATCAAGTGATCTGTAGGTTGCTATAAAACTAGGAAAGAAGGGAGATCAGAAGGACCATAAACTGATGGGGCTTTGAAAATTTGTCTTTAATTTTATTGCCTTAGGTTTTCTGGTATTCTTTTTGTCCCATCTGCTTCCTGCAGTTTTATCTGTCTTCCTTCATAATCTCTCTCTCCTACCCTCTACCCTATTTTCTTTTGTTTTCTACCCATTATTAAGCTCATCTAGCTAAGTGGTGTCCCAGATAGAGCCCAGGAGGAAGATTTGGCCAGTGTAGTCTCTTCGTTCCCCTCCCTGCTATGGGCTAAATTATGTGCCCCTGAATTCATATGTGGCAGTCCTAACCCCCAGAACCTCAGATTTTCACTTTATTTGGAAATACGGTCATTATAGCACTGGAGTGCTAATCCAGTAAGATTGGTTTCCTCATAGAAGGGGGAAGTTCAATGCAGGCATACATTCTGGAAGAAGGCCACACAAATGTGCAAATAGCCATCTATTAATACAACCTAAGGAGAGAGGCCTCCTTCCCCACAGCCCTCAGGAGGAATCCATCCCACTGACATCTTCATTTTAGATTCCTAGCCTCCAAAACTGTGAGACAACAGATTTCTGTTGTTTAAACCACCCAGTTTGTGGTTCTTTCTTACAATAGCCCGAACAAACTAATACACTCCTCACATGAAACAAGCTCTGACTTCACAGACCTGCTTTAGTTCCTTCAGCTCCAAGGCACCTGTGGTTCAACTTCATTTTGATAAAATAAACCATATAGAGCTTCTTAATCTTAGGACATGCTATTTTTTTTCTAGCATTACCCAAACAGAGTCTGTCAAAATATTCCTCACTAGGCTCTTCAGAAATCTCTGCATATGTGTGACTTTGTAACCCCAACATAAAGGAAGCAGAGGGTCAAGAAATGGGTTGTAGAGAGGCACAGTCCATTGTTTCTGCTGTCCGATGCCCTATATAGCTCTTGACTAGTGTGAACCGTGGCTAGACTAGTCATCCTACCAACGAAGCAAAACGGGTTTTGCCTACCTGGAGTCAGGAATTTCTGAGACTGTAGCTGAGATAATCGGAGAACAGAGCAGGAATGCAATGATGAATTGGTCCCAGCTCTCTAAATGGATTCTGCCCCCTATCCATTCTTATTCTGAGAGAACAGAGTCTCATTCATGAAAATCTCAGGCAACTTCAGATTCTTCCAAAATGTCTGAGTCCCAGCATCCTCCACTCTCTTCTTGCCAGTTTCCCTCTGCCCCATCTCCTCATGGGCTCTTGATGACCTGGGAGTAACCGAGGGGGCAGCTTTATGCCCTGACCTCTACAATTCACTCTCTGGACCAGTTCCTGGGTGCATTTTCTTTCCTTTTGAAATCCAGGAAAAAACCCTGAAACCTGAATACCTAGACCGAGGCAAGAGGGGGCCTCCTGGCACTGGACCACCTCCCAAAGCAAGCCTTACTTTTCCTCGGCCCAGTGGTACATCCCTCCACTTCGGGTAAGGAAATTGGTGTCACAATTCTTAAGTGTTGCGTGATTCTAGGTAACTTTCTGTCCTTACCCCAAGGCTTCAATTTATATACCCAACTATATTCTATAAGCTTTTCTTGATCAACTATATTAATTGCTTTCCTATTCCCTTGGTTCATACAAGAGACTACAAAATACTCCTTGTCCTCAAAGAGTTTATAATCTAGTTAGAGAGATATGCTCGGGAATCAGTTGAGTAAGTAAAATGGGAATCAGTATAGAAAAGAAGCATAGAAGTTCAGGAAAGGATGGACCAATGACAGTGAAGATTGTGGATAAAGGATGCAGAGCAGCATAGGATATGAGATGGATTTTAAAGAATCAATGGGACTTAGAGAGGGGCAAAATAAAACTGAACAGAAAAAGAACAAAAGGAAAGAATAGGGAAGAGAAAAGAACAAACAAAAAGGAGAGAGTTCTAGGCTAAGAATACTGCATGAACAATGTATACAACTTAATCTTGGATGTGAAAGAAAGCAGTGAAAGTGATCTGTCTAAAGTGTGTCATTTGAATTGGAAAGTAATTTGAAATAAGATTGACTAAGGTGAGGCCAAATGACAGCCCCTCGAGGAGTCCGATCATTATTCTAGGGGAATATCATTTAAAATTTGCAGCTGGTGAGAGACATAATGGAAATGAAGCATAGAGCAGTGAAGAGTCAGAGCTGGTTTAAATTCTGGCTTCATTATTCACTGTTTGTGTGGTCTGGAGAAAGTTGCTCAGCTTTTCTTTTTTTATTTGAGACAGAGTCTCACTCTGCCGCCCTGGGTAGAGTGCAGTGGTGTGATCACAGCTCACAGCAACCTCAAACCCCTGGGCTCAAGTGATCCTCCTGCCTCAGCCTCCCGAGTAGCTAGGATTACAGGCGTGCACCACCATGCCCGGCTAATTTTTCTACTTTTAGTAGAGATGGGCTCTTGCTATGTTGCTCAGGCTGGTCTTGAACGCCTGAGCTCAAGCGATCCTCCCACCTTGGCCTGCCCGAGTGCTGGGATTACAGGCGTGAGCCACTACACCCGGCCGTTGCTCAGCTTTTCTAAGTCTTATTTCTCATATGTAAAATGAGAATAATTGTAGCTACCTGGGAGAAGTGATGAGAAGATAAAAAGAGAAAACGTGTGTAAGGCACTTTATATAGTGTTTAGTGCACAAAAAATATAGGTGGTGGCAATAGGAAGGGCACTGGTACTAGCAATGATAAAATGCTCCTTCAGAAAGGTCCACCTGGCACCAC